GTATTTAGGGACGGATTCCTCGCTATACAGGCACCGAAAATGGCCGCCGTATGGAGGATCTTCCCTGGACGGTGAGTTTTTAGCCCATTGGAACGCATTAAACGGTTTTCAATGCGTTTCAATGGGCTTTTTATTTTCGCTTTATGACATTTTCGCTTAACAGCGATTTTCCTGGAACGGATTATCGCTGTTAAGCGAGGCACCACTGTACTACCAAAACTACTTATTAAGCAGAAATCTTACTAAGGTACCATAGGCTGCAATTGAATTGACACCAAATAAGACACACTCCATTGATTAGTTCTACACATTTTCTGTTGGTGAAAAGCGGGAGCTAGGTGGCTCACTGTCCTTTTGTGAGTAAATCTTTTTCCTAATAATGAAGATATAAGTCCATTGCATCACATTAATGCCTGAAATCCTGTTACTTAGCATTGTAAGCAACTAGACTAGGGCCACTGAATCAGTGGAGATTTTGCGAGTCAGCAGCTCTATCTCCCATTGATTCAATGGGCCTATTCTATTGTGACTTCCAGGATTTCAGCAAATGAGGGATAACCTTCTCACTCTTTCTGTAGAATAACTGTAACTTTTCAGTTGTTTTTATACTTACGTGGCACTAGGAAAAGGTAGAGGCAGAATTTCCCATGGTTCAAGGACTGAATTGTACTATGTACTTTATTGTACCTTTTGGGAAGATGCTGAAGTAAATGAGAGGAGATTGCATATTTGTGCCACTGGCTGGCAACTTCAGATCCCCTTGTCAAATTGTAACTATAACCGATTATAGCTTTTGAAGTAATATTCTACGCTGTTGTTTATTTTTACAGCAATTTTGTGAACTTTAGAAGTCACACACATCACACAGTGAGTAACATACAATGAAGGAGGAATTGTTATTAATAGGCCTTTGCTGTTAATAGCTAAAACATTATGGTTCAATTTATGTATAGGCGGAGTGGCTGGCCTTGGGCGCAGACATTTTGAACAGTTTTCAACAACACTGCTAGTTATCTGTAAAGGTAAAGGTTCCCCTTGACATTTAGTCCAGTTGTGTCCAACTAGGGCGCGGTGCTCATCCCCATCTCCAAGCCGTAGAGCCAGCGTTTGTCGGTAGACAGTTTCCATGGTCATGTGGCCAACATGACTAGACACAGAACACTGTTACCTTCCCAGTGTGGTGGTACCTATTTATCTACTCGCATTTACATGCTTTTGAACTGCTAGGTTGGCAGGAGCTGGGACAAGTGATGGGAGCTCACTCCGTTGTGTGAATTCAATCTTACGACTGTTGGTCTTCTGACCTTGCAGCACAGAGGCTTCTGCAGTTTAACCCGCAGCACCACCACATCCCTATCTGCCAAAGTACACCTTAATTGCCTGTTTCCTGACAGCTTCCTTGAACGGTACAAAGGCTTACTGATTGCAATATAGTTAAAGCCCAGGGAGGTCTACAGTACTGCTAGTAGAAAACTTCAAAGTCTTTGTGCCTATGACATCGGTAACTTCGCAATATGCATCGGTAACTTTTCAATATACTGTTTCAATGAAGCTCACATATGAAATGTTGATTTGCTGTTCTTACAGAACTAGGTTTAATCCAGCTGTTCACCAGGAGCTGCTTTAAAGAACGGGAAGAGCATCTATGAATAAGAACCTTTTTTTGCTTGATTTTGAAAAATTTTATGAAAGCTTTATATTATAGCAGAGATTTGCACTCTAAATCAATTCTTACAAGAACTTAAGTCAGAGATTTTCTATTAGATTACTCTTATTAATATTCTTTTTTTCAATAGTGTATGTGTACAAGTTAATTTAATCCATGTCCATTCCAACAATACCTAGGGAAGACTTATTAGAGTGCCGTATTTCCATTGTAGTGAACTGTGCGTCTCCATGTTTAACAATACACTCTAAAATAATTTATTGGTACAGGATCCGTAACATTTATTTCCAGTTGTAAAACTAAGATATTAAATCTGTAATTAACTTTATTCCTTAGAATGGTAAAGTTGTACTTTTATAGAAATGTACTGTATTTTAGAAGAATAAGCAAGGTTGAATATTTATATAGATAGATTTTATAGTCAGTCTCGTAAGAGAGTGGTATTAAGCTGAATCAGAGTAGAGAGGACTCAGTGGTTTAGGTATCTGGCTGCAGAGCCAGAGACTGGAAGTTCAGTTCCTCACTGTGCCTCCTTGACAGGGGCTGGACTTGATGATCCACAGGGTTCCTTCCAGTTCTGCAGTTCTAAGATGATAATTGTGATGATTTGAATGGGACGCATTTGTAAATGCAAACCCCCTCCCCTGCTGGTTCTATCATGTGTACCTCTTATACAGAATGATTCAGTACTGAGTTTGATAAACTCAAACCCTTAAAGTAACGGGACTTAATTCAGTTGTTCATCTGAAGAAGATGAGATCTTCTGAAAGCATGTGCTTGTTAAATTAACACTTACAAAACTCCAATGGATTCAGTAAGTCTACTCTGTTGTTGTTGATGATGATGATTGTGTGGCAATAAGTCAGTTCTGACATATGGCAACTCTTTTCAGGTTTTCTAGATACAGAGTACTCAGAAAGTGGTTTATAATATCTTCTTGGGGCATCCTGGGACTGTATAGCTTGCTTAGGGCCACACCAGTTGCCTTTCTTTGGATGTACAGTGGGGAATCGAATGCACAACCTTTGGCTCCACAGCCAGATACCTAATTCGCTGAGCTATCCAGCCTGCTTATGCTGATTAGGACTGAAAATCAGATATGACCCAGAGAGATCTGTGGGGGCCAGCAAGATATTGGAAGTCTTATCCATTTTCTGCAGAATGTTATAATTATGTAATAGTTATCAGTAATCAAGTCATGTAAAAATATAAAAATAGCTGCTTTTTCTATTTTTTTAGCGGCAAATACTGTAAAAACACTGGTTTTGCAAAAGCATACAAAATTCAGAAGCTTGCTTATTGGTTGAATAGTTTGTATGCCTCTTTGTAATTTGATCATTATGGCGGTTTCTTATAGTGTTATGTATGCTCTCTCTGGGTGGTTTATACATTTAAAAAAATAATAATAAAACTGGTTATTTGACAGAAGATTTTACTAATTTGTTACTAATTTGTTACTAATCAAGTTGTACTATATGTATTGTTTTATCTCTTTTAGTTTTCTGAATATATGCATATTTACTGCTTAGAGAGCTGTCCTTACCTAATGAATCACTAATACAATAGTGACTTCATTCTTTCCTGTTGGTAATTGGTAATTATATGGTTATTTTTCTCATCTGTAATCTCGTGAGAAGATTTAGAGAGGAAATAGTCACCACTGCCAAATGATTAATTTTTCAAATTAGGTTTTCTCTCCCTATCTCCATCTGTCACCCCCAAACCAGAAAACATTAGATGCTATCTGCATGAGGGAATCTTGCATTTATATAGAGCTCCATGGCTAGATTTTGTGAAAAACACTGCATATGTCCAGACTACATACTACTGTGTCTGTGGGGAACAGAGGAGAAATTTGTTGTGTCTGGTTGCACCATGACTGGCTGGCTGGCTCAGTGGGTTGGTACCTGGTTGTGGAACCAGAAGTTTCTCACTGTGTCTCCCAGGAGAAGAACTAGCCGCTGTAGCTTTTAGCAAGCTGTACACACAGTCTCAGAGCACCTCCGGAAGAATGGAATGGTAAACCACCTCTGTGTGCTATGGTGTACTATATACATAAAGAACTCTAGAAAGTAGCATCATAAGTCAGAGCTGACTTGATGGTAGGCAATTAGCTGCCTGGATAATTCACAGAGTTGGAACATCTGACTGGAAACAATTTTTTCAGGAGTCCGGTTATCTGCTATGCATCCCTGGAAAACAGCCAGCCTGTGTAGCCTTGGGCAAGTTGTACAGTTCCAAAACGCCTGTAGAAGAATGGAATTGTAAATAATTTCTGAATACTTTATAGCTAGAAGACCCTGAGAAGTCAGAATAAATGTGGCAGCAGACAACTGTTATTAAGTTGCACCATTTCACAGAAGCAGGAACACAGTCATTTCTTAGTGCAGGAGACCATTTCACCCAATTTACAGTGTGCTTGAAAAGTATTAAGCAGGAAATAAAATAAACTAGATGCTTGGCTTTGTGAAGAAAATTGAATTTAATCAAACATATGTTTGTGAATATTACCTTTGAAATGTATGTTTCTGTCAGAAACATCATAGATTGGTGATGTCAGTTATGTATAGTTATATGACTACCTTTATCTTATTTACATAGAAGAATTAGGTATGAGTGTTAAGTTCAGGGAAAATGCTGTGGATCAGGCATGTAGGGCTAAATACAAAATTAGGGTTCCCATGTACTGTATTGTTTAATTTTCTGTCTCTTAATGACTTAGCTAAATACAAAATTAGGGTTCCCATATATTGTTTAATTTTCTGTCTCTTAATGACTGTTCCAGAGAATGTAGGTAGAGACTTTTCATAGATATTCTGTTTTCCTCATTTGTCTGGTTTTTAAAATATGTAATGAAATATGTTATTCATATTATTGATATGATTTATGTAGACAGTCCAGCTTTGCCAGAACCAGTACCCATGAAGTACAGTAGATGAAATTTAGCTCTTAGGGGTCTCCTCTGTCTGTCTATCAATTTCAGAAAGCGCATTCAGCTTACCTAATTTGTCATTTCAAATGATGGAGACTTAGAAACTAAACTTCTACAGAATCAAGTACATTTTAGTTACTTTAATTTAATCCTTTGTTTTCTGTATGCTTATCTTCTCTATTATTTAAAATATGATGTACAAACATTTTCTGTACACTACACAAGCATTTTGTATACAACAAAACCTGCTGTTACCTTAAAACAAGTTGCCAAGAGTTGTTGAAGTGTCCAAAGTGAAAAGGTGTTATTTTGAGACAACATAATTATCTCCAATTCCTACTGAATTTTTACTCTGAAAAGATTTGGTGACACTATTGATTTAGAAAAAATTCTTTCTTTCAGTTTCTGTAATGGATGCATGTTGGATCCAGTTTGTGGCTTTTGCTACAGACTGAACAAGTCAAGTGTTGTGGAGTCCTCCTGTGTTCCTATTAGTCAGAAGTCTACAATGGAAGCAGCTTGGGGCAGGTATGCTGATTTTGTGTTCCTTAATTTTATAAAAAGAACTCAATACATTTTTGTAAGTACTACTGTTATATAAGACTCCAAATTATATTTCGTTGTAAATAATAATGTGTATCCCGACATGGTTTCTTTCTTTCTTTCTTTCTTTCTTTCTTTCTTTCTTTCTTTCTTTCTTTCTTTCTTTCTTTCTTTCTTTCTTTCTTTCTTTCTTTCTTTCTTTCTTTCTTTCTTTCTTTCTTTCTATCTATCTATCTATCTATCTATCTATCTATCTATCTATCTATCTATCTATCTATCTATCTATCTATCTATCTATCTATCTATCTATCTATCTATCTATCTACCATGTGGTTTTCATTTATTCTGTCTCTAAGAAAACAAAAACACTATGGGATGGAATCATCTCTGAGTGCTGCTGACTTGAATGGTCACATCACTTTCCCACCCGAAAACCAAGAGGTAGAGGAACAAAATGAACAGTAACTATTGCCAAGTATTGACTTTGGGGGTGAGGCGACACCTTGGTGGTGGTAAAATCAGTGAAGCAAGAGAAAGGAGCACAGAAAAATTGGATAATACCACATTGAAACAATTGATATCATTTCTGGCTAGCATCATCACATAAAGTAAGATAATAGTTTAAGATAAGGGTGATCAAAGTGCAATCCTCCAAATGTTGTCAGATTGTTGATTTGAGCAAGCATAGCCAGTGGTGCAGGCCAGTAACATTTGCAGAACTGCATTTTGCCCATCCTTAACCTAAAGATTGTTGCCTCTAAAATCTTCAGTAGAGATGTCCCATTGCATCTCACATTTTTACTTCATTTTTATTTCAATAAGGATTTATTCAATTTTTTTTTGAAAACTACTGTATAGAACATGTTTTAAAGTCTTACATCTATTTGCTGGATTCATAAGTACTTGGCTAAGCAAGTGCAGAATGTCAGTACTTGTATAGAATTTTAGCTTTAGCCATTCTTTATTCATTTGCTTTCTATGGAGAATCCAGACAATATTGTTGGCAAGGAAGTTGTATTCTGGCTTTGGAGCGTGCAGGTTGACTAGTAGTTATTCAAGTCTGATTTCGAGTGGATTTTATACTCTAAATGTTCATATAAATAGCACTGTCCTGCCTTCTGTAGCCAAAGAAAATGCACCAAGGTTTTATATCTCCAGAGTTGTGGTCTTTGTATGTTTTTTGCTCAGAAGAGAATATTTTAATGCACCCAATATAACTGTGCATGGTGCAACCCAGCATTCCGGGTTACAACAGCTGATTCAAAATAAAGTTTCCAGGATGGAGAATTTCATTCAGTTTCTTGCTTGGTGTCAAGCGGAGTATCTTAGTGGTTCTGTTGGGTTTTTTGTCCCCCATACCACTGCAGCATTCATCTTCAGTGTAGGTAAACAAAAATACTCATGCTTCCATAAACTCAAGGAACCTGAATGTTTCGAGATTACTGCTTTCAAATGACACTGTTAACTTCATTGAAGGTAGATAGCTGCCTGTTTTTTTTTCCAACAGTTATCATCCACTTTGGCTTCTACATGAATGTTGATTTCTACACTTTACGTTTTTTGGGATTGGTGTGGGTTTTCTATAACCAAGTGTAATTTTTTAAAAGGATATTAACAGGCCATTTTTGAGGGTAAAAAGGTTTATATCTGTGATTTAGTAATCTAATAGTGGAAACAAAATGGAGCCTGCATTCATTTATATTGTAGAGTAGTGGAAGACTGTTCATTGCTCTGTTACTGAGTGACAGAGACCAAGATACAGCAAATAATAAATTCAATATTGCCTATGTTTTCAATTGAATGGCCAACAAAAATAGATTTTTAAAAAACCCTACACACTAGGAAGACAGAAAGCATGTTAAAAATAAATGGTATCATTTTGTGAAAAAGAAGAAATGGTAGCCAGCGCCACGTACAAGTTAAAACCAAAAAGTCTGTTTTGTTGTTGTTTAGTTGTTAAGTCATGTCCAACTCTTTGTAACCGCATGGACCAGAGCACGCCAGGCCCTCCTGTCTTCCCTTGCCTCCCAGAGTTTGATCAAATTCATGTTGGTAGCTTCAATGACACTGTCCAACCATCTCGTCCTCCATCGTTCCCTTCTCCTCTTGCTTTCCCACTTTCCCAACATCAGGGTCTTTTCCAGGGAGTCTTCTCATGAGATGGCCAAAGTATTGGAGCCTCAGCTTCAGGATCTGTCCTTCCAGTGATCACTCAGGATTTCCTTTAGAATGGATAGGTTTGATCTCTTTGCAGACCAGGGGACTCTCAAGAGTCTCCTCCAGCACCACAATTCAAAAGCATCAATTCTTCTTTATGGTCCAGCTCTCACTTCCACACATCACTACAGGAAAAACCATAGCTTTCCCTATGCAGACCTTTGTCGGCAGGGTGATTCTCTGCCTTTTAAGATGCTGCCGAGGTTTGTCATCGCTTTCCTCCCAAGAAGCAGGGGTCTTTTAATTTTGTGGCTGCTGTCACCATCTGATCAGGGAGCCCAAGAAAGTAAAATCTTTCACTGCCTCCAGATCTTCCCCTTCTATTTGCCAGGAGGTGATGGGACCAGTGGCCATGATCATAGTTTTTTTTTAATGTTGATCTTCAGACCATTTTTTTGACTCTCCTCTTTCACCCTCATTGAGAGGTTATTTGATTCCTCCTCACTTTCTGCCATCACAGTGGTCTCATTTGCATATCTGGATTGTTGATATTTCTTCTGGCAATCTTAATTCTGGCTTGGGATTCCTCCAGTCCATCCTTTCACATTATACATTCTGTGTATAAGTTAAATAAGCAGGGAGATAATGTACAGCCTTGTTGTACTTCTTTCCCAGTTTTGAACCAATCATTTGTTGCATATCCAGTTCTAACTTTTGCATCCTGTCGCCCGTATAGATTTATCAGGAGATAGATAAGGTGGTCAGGCACTCCCATTTCTTGAAGATCTTGCTATAGTTTGTTGTGATCCACACAGTCAAAGGCTTTTGCATAGTCAATGAAGCAGAAGTAGATGTTTTTCTGGAACTCTCTGGCTGTCTCAATAATCCAGCGTAATGCTGAAGTCTATCTTGGAGGATTTTGAGCATAACCTTGCTAGCGTGTGAAATTAGTGCAATTGTATGGTAGTTGGAACATTCTTTGGCACTGCCCTTCTTTGGGATTGGGATGTAGACTGATCTTTTCCAATCCTCTGGCCACTGCTGAGTTTTCCAAACTTGCTGGCATATTGAGTGTAGCACCTTAACAATGTCATCTTCTAAGATTTTAAATAGTTCCACTGGAATGCCATCACCTCCACTGGCCTTGTTGTTAGACAGGTTTTCTAAGGCCCACTTGAATTCACTCTCCAGGATGTCTGGCTCAAAGTTAGCAACTACACGATCTGGGTTGTCCAGGATATCCAGATCTTTCTGGTATGATTCCTCTGTGTATTCTTGCCACCTCTTCTTGATGTCTTCTGCTTTTGTTAGGTCCCTACTATTTTTGTCCTTTATCATGTCCATCTTTGCACAAAAGGTTCCTTTAATATCCAGTTTTCTTGAACACATCTCTGGTTTCTCCCTTTTTATTATTTTCCTCTATATCTTTGCACTGTTCATTTATGAAGGCCCTCTTGTCTCTCCTTGCTATTGTTTGGAAGTCTGCATTCAATTTTCTGTAACTTTCCCTATTTCCGTTGCATTTTGTTTCCCTTCTCTGCTATTTGTAAGGCCTCGTTGGACAGCCACTTTGCTTTCTTGCATTTCCTTTTCTGTGGGATGATTTTTGTTGCTGCCTCCTGTACAATGTTATGAGCCTCCATCCATAGTTATTCAGGCACTCTGTCCACCAAATGTAAGGGATGTGATTTAGATTATACCTGACTAGCCCAGTGGTTTTTCCTACTTTCTTCAGT